TCGCGCTCCGAGCGGAGGCCCTCCCCGAGTGGGGGAGGGGGTCGGGGCAGATGGGAGGAAGTGCTGGAGAGGAGGAGGAGGACGGAGGAGGAGGAGGAGGAGGAGGAGGAGGAAGAGGGGGAGTAGGAGGAGGAAGACGAGGAAGAAAAAAGCGAAGACGAAGAGTACGAAGAGGAACAATAGGAGGGGCAGGGGGATGAAGATGCGGAAGGCACGCAGTCGGAGGATAGCGGGGAAGAGCGAGGGAGAGGAGGAGGAGGAGTAGGAAGACGGATGATCGAGCATGTTAGGCCGAATGAATCCGCCGGCCCCGTCCGCTCCCGCCTGCCCTGTCGGAATACACAGAACCAATCTTGGAGCACGTGGATGTTTTTGATTGGCGCGCGATCCTATAGCGAGCGTAAGGCGCGCGGCCCCGCTTCAGACCAGTAGGAGGAGGAGGCGGAGGAGGAGGAGGAGGAGGAAAAGGAGGAGGAGGAGGAGGATGGGGAGGGGGAAGAGGAGGAGGAGGGGGAACAGGCATGTGGCGCGCACAGGCGGATGCACAACTTCTCAGAGCAGATCCCTGCGCGCGGTTGTGGAAAAGGACGCCACTCGGCCCTTTCTCGCCGCGGCTGGATGTCGGATGGGCGTGCGGAACGCAAAGCGTGCGCCGTGCCGATGCGCGAGAGCGGCAGTTTACCCGCGCGCGCGGGCGGCCCCGCTCTCGCCTGCGACGACTTTCAGGAGGGGGAAAAAAAAGCACAGACACAATGATTCGTCGATTCCCAAAAAATATGGGAATATATGGGAAATGGGGGGGAAGACAAAACCCCTGAAAATATAAGAACATATGGGGGTGTGTTATTTGTGTGTATTTATTTGTGTGTCCCAGAGCCCCTTCAGACTTGCCGCGCTGAAAGTGTGTGTGTGTGTGTGTGTGCGTGTGTCTGGCTTGGGCGGCGGGACATTTCGCCCGCTCGCGCGCGACCCCGCTTTCGACCTCTGGGCCAGCGAAGCACGTGCGCCGCGCGCACCACGGGACGCCTTTCTCGGGCGCGGTCTGCCTGGCGCTTGGGCGAGAGAGGTGTACTGCGCCGCGCTGCTCGCGAGAGACGTGCGCCGGCCTGCAGCAGGAGGGCGTGGGCGCCACTCTCAGAACAGATGCGCGCGGTGCGGAGGCGAGAACCGCACCGCGCCCTGGTGCGCACGACGAGCGCTGTGACCTCGTTCCGGCCACGCATGTTGCAAGGCGGATGGCAACGCGTCAGTATTGACGGAAACAACGACGATTTCTCTGCCATTGGTTTGACTGGGACACTCGCTTAGGTCGGCCATCCGGCGGCAGCGCGTCAGAGCGGGACCATGTGCGATGAGGGTGCGGAGGAGCGGAGGACGGATGAGGAGAGCGAGGGAGAAGGAGGCGAAGGAGAGGGATGATGAGGACGAGGTCGAGGAGGAGGGATGGCACCGAGGTGAGCGAAAGCGGGAGAGAGAGACAGAGAGAGAGAGAAACAGAAGCGCGGCTTGGAACAAACAGCGCGGAGGACGGAGGACGAGGTGGCCAAGGAGGACAGAGCGGCACGCGGAGGAGCGAGGCACGAGGTGAGCGGAGGCACGAGGACGAGGAGCGAGGCACGAGGACAAGGAGGGCCGAGGAACGAGGAACGAGGGACGAGGGACGAGGGACGAGGAGGGCAAGGAGCACGAGGAGGACGAGAAAGCGAGGTCCGAGGCCGTCGCCGAGGAGCTTGGGCGGGCAGCCTCTGCGCCACCGGCCGCGGCCCTCGAGAGCCGCGCCCGCCGTGGGAAGCCGAGCGCCGGCGGGCCTGCCGGTCGGCGCCCCCCGCGTGGGCTCTCGGGTTTCGGTCGGCGCCGTCCCTCCGCAAGCTCGGCCTCCTGCTTCGGGGGGGCCCGCGGGTCGTTGATGGCAGGTATGTTGGGAGTCCCAGCTTCCAATCCACGTTGGGCGCCTTCCTCTACTTCAATGATCGAGCGGCTTCACCGTTTCCGTCCTCCTCAGGGGACGGGCGCGCACCCAGTCTGTCCAGAATATGTTCAAGGCCTTCCCACTTCATGTTTCTACCTACTTCTTCCGACCGACGGGTAGGTTTAAGTCGTGCATGCCCCTCTACTTGAGGCAGATTCAAGAAAGAGTCACGCAATAGTCTGGGGTTAAGCATGTTTGAAAACTTCTGATAGGTCATGAGTACTTTTCAGCTTTCTGCCAAAATCCGCCTGTAAGAGAACATGTCCGACCTAAGTCTTTCCCTCCGTCAGCTCGTCCTCCTGCTTCGGGAGTGCCCGCGGTGAGGTTGTATCGGCTGCGTGTTTCGAAGGAGAAAAGACGCCATACACATAAACTGTTGGCGCTCCGCGTGGGTTTCTTGGATCCGCGCTGGGCCTCTAGCGCGCTCCGCGCGCCAGGGATGGGGGACCCATCGCAGATCCAAGAAATTCCCACGGAGCGCCAAAAGTTTACGTTTATGCCGTTGTTCCCCAATCAGAGCTTGCCTCTGTAGGGGTCCTAGCGGATTTAAGGGTTTGGTGAGGTTCGTCGCCGATTTCGGTGGCCGGGCCCGGGTGCCAGGGTGCCCGGGTGCCCGGGGGTGCCCGGCGGTGCCCGGGTGGCCAGTGAGGTTCGTCGCCGATTTCGGTGGCCGGGCCCAGGTGCCCGGGTGCCGGGGTGGCCGGGGGTGCACGGGTGCCCGGGGTCGCCCAATAGCCCAGCATCCCAGTAGCCCTATAGCCCTATAGCCTTATAGCCCTATAGCCCTGTAGCCTTATAGCCTTATATCCCTATAGCCCAAATAGCCTTCTATCCCTATAGCCCCATAGCCCATATAGCTCTATAGCCTCCTAACCCTATAGCCCTATGGCCCTATAGGTCACAGTCCTATAGCCCTATAGCCTGATAGCCCTATAGCCCGATAGCCTTATAGCCCTATAGCCCGATAGCCCTATAGCCCTATAAGGGAGCAATTGGAATATTACAACATCGGATTGGGTTTGTTCTTCGGTATCATTTCTTCTTCCGGCGTCGCAGTCGGTTGTTTTCGGTCGGTTCGGTTGTGTCGGCTGTCGTGTCGTTGCGTGCGCCGCTGCGACCCCCCGGGCTGCCTTCGGTCGGTGTCGGTCGCTCTCGGTTCGGCTTGTTTTTGGGGGGGCTTCGCTGTCGTGGTGGACGCCCGCGACTCGTGCGCGTTCGACGCATGGCCTCCGTCATCTCAGCCTCCCACAGTCGGCCCTGAATAGTAGGTCGGCCCTGCCAAATCAAGGGTACCCTTGCGTTCTGTGCCTTGCAACCCGTGCCTCCCACATTCCTAAGACAATGTGGCCCTCGGAGGGGCCTTCTGTCCTCTCGCGTGCCCTGTCCAATCAAGGCCGACTGTACTATATGAACGGGGTCCCTGAGATTTCTGGCTTGGCTTCCGCAGCCAGCGCGCACTCGGGCCCCCTTGCGTGTCCCACCCACCCCTCTCTCGCCGACGCAGGCCTGCTGGCAAAGGTGTTTGAGCATTTGCAGCACGGCTGAGGGCACCGCCCGCGCCGACCCCGTGCCTCGCTGTCAATCTCGGCGGCGAGCGAGGGGGGGAGACGAGAGGGAGAAGGCCTTGCCCGCAGGCGGCGGGGCTTCTCCGAAGCCCTCGCGCCTCTGAGCAGTTCTGCTGTGTCTCCCGAGAAGGCCGGGGACTTCCGAGCCTTCCGAGAGGGCCCGCCCCCTTCTCGCTTCCCCCCCCCGCGCTCGCCGCCAAGTCAAGGGGCTGGGCTGTCTCACCTCGCGGGCGCGGCACGCCGGCGCGAGAAAACCTCCGTGCCAGGCACCGTGCCACGGGGGGCAGAACTGGCAGTACGCCTCCGTGCCCCGGCCTGCACTGGGGGCGTTCCAGCATGCCCCTTGCCTTCGAGGATAGAAGGAGTTGGCAGCTCTTCCGCGGCGGAAGGCGGCGGATGGTCGGCGGAGGGCGGCGGAAGAACAGAGAGGCCCCCTCCGCGGGCGGAAGCCGGCGGAAGGGCGGCGGAAGGCGGCAGGAGTAAGGGATGCGCCCCCAAAGGGATGAACACGTTCTTGGGTTTAGGGTCTCCGAAATCCGCCATGTAATCGCCTCGTGTTTGGAAAGGGTTGGATGCGTCCTTGGAGGCTGCACCGGCCAGGGCCCGCCAAGAGGGAGGAGGCGGCGCAGGCAGTTGCTCGCCATGAATCCTCGGCCCCCCCCCAAAAAAATATATATGGCCTTTTAGATAAGAGTTTGCTCTCGGGAATACCCTCAGGAGTCCATCGGGACGCACCACGATCGAGGATTGGACCCCCCCTCCCTTGGTGCACCCCCGAGTTGGGTCCAAATTGCTTTGTCCATCGAAAGTGGCTCAGCGGGGACTGGGGTCGCCAAACACGGTGTTCGGATGGGTGCTCCCACCCGACACTCTGGAGCTGTGAGGTCAAAGTGGAAGAGCTCGCGGCCCGCCTTCCATAGCCCTGCATTGCCGCGGCCATCAGGCCCAACGCGTGCCCGCAGTCCCCGGGGATCCCGCTTCGTGCCCTCGGCGGAAGACGACTGCATGCTGCAGCCGCCAGGCCCAGAGGGTGCCGGTGCCTCTTGGGGATCCCGCCTCGCGTTCTCGGGCGGGGATCGCTCGAAGCAGAAGACATACGAGGGTCGTTGGGCGAGGGGCGGTGAGGAAACACCAGGCAGGGGGAGGGCTGGAGAAGCGGAGGGCGGGGCCAGGCGGCATCTCTTTCTGCCCCCCGCGCCCGACGCACCGCACACTCGCGGCTCGACCGGGGCGCCTGCCGCTGAGCCACACGGTCTCCCCGCCCTGCCATTGCGGAGACCTCTGGCGACTCGAGTAAAATCGCGCCGCAATTTTGATCGCAATGTTCGGCCTGCGGTGGGTCCCCAGGATTCGAGGCCAGACTTGATACGTATCCACTGCCTGGGGAACCGAAACCCCAGGACCCGGGGCGGCAGTGGGTATCCATGGGACCCCAGTGCCCGAGAATATCCACGTCCACTGCTTTC